CCAAAGCAGATGAGCAGTGTCTTGGTATTTCTAATGATAAGGGCATTGCCAAATCGAGGCAAAATGAAGCTGTCCTCGTGACAGCCCAGCTCTCCTCTGACTCCTGGTCACCTCTTTCCTTTTACCACCTCCAAGGAAGGCACAGTTCCACATTAATCACTTAGCTAACAGTGATGAGCCCGTCACACTGTGTAACCAGATAGCCAGATGGAGTAGTTTTTAAAATTTGGATAAATCTCATAGCATTGGTTGGAAAGTGGTAAAACCATGGTCATTGGGCTTGAGGCTTTTTGGTGCTGGTGGTTGGAGCCTGCAGGCCGTTTTCTCTCAATAGCTGATCATCTGTTCTGTTGTTTTTGCTGCGTAAGAGAGGCCTCGAGACCTACTCACACCAGAGCCTTGGTTCCTGCCCACTCACCATGCGCCTTCCACACCCAGCTAATCAGCACTCCCGCGTTCGCTTACCCCACGAACAGGCCTGCGCCAGGTGCTGGCCGGGTGTACCCGTGAACAAGCCGAACAGTCCCTGTTTCGGGGACGCCGACATTGTGTTTCAAGAGACAGGCATTAAACAACTAATGGCACAGTGTTTAATTATAACTGTGGGAAGTCCAGCAGGGGCAGTATTGAGTGGCAAGAGCGTGTCTAAGGGGCAGATGTGACCTGCTCCAGGAGTCAGGGAATAGCAGGAATCCACTGCAGGGAAGGCGCGGGTGTAACGGTGGGCAGAGCCCGGCCCGCAGGTCAGTCCGTGTCCTGCCATCAGAGGTGGGACGGGTGTGCGGCTCGTGGTTAACGTCCCAGTGTTTGCCAAGAAGACCGGATGTCTGAATAGCCCCTGCCCTGCCTACTGCACACCCCTCAGCCCTCAGGCACCAGGTCAGCAGCCCAGGACCTCCAGGTAGTGGCTCCTGACCATGACCCCTGAGAGGAGGAGGTGCCGACTCCCCTAATTTCCTGACACGTGGCAAGAGCATCTCAGGACATCACTTTCCACAAGGAAGTTGTCCCCACTCAGCTTGAGCAGCAGTGGCTTCTTGCATCAGAAGAGAAGAGAGGAAAGCCCCCGTGGAAGAGAAACGGCATCTGAAGTTCAAGAATAGGTTTCTCAAGAAACATAGTCTTTTTAGAAAAAGTTTATGGCAACAGCATTTCAGCTTATTCTCAGGGTTCTCCCACCTGGCCTAGTTCCTCCACCTGCCCCCATTTCTGAGATTTCTCCCGGTGTCTCGGTGTCCCATCGGTGATGGGGAGATTTACACCCGCATGTGCCGGGGCCACAGGCAGGGGGTTACCTGGCTCCTTCCGGCTCGGCGAAGGCGGGACGGGCGTGGGCTCGGGCGGTGGGGAGGTCCGCGCGTGTCCGCGAGCCTTGCGCTTCCTGAGAAGGGCGTGCGATTAAGCAGGTAGGTGCACTTGGCTTTCTGACCCTCCTGTAGTTAATCGCTCTGACTTCCTCCGCCTTCTTCCTCCCGGCTTTGTGCTCCTAATCTGTAATCTAATAGCTTTTTTTTTTTTTTAAATGGCTGGCACCTCAAAGGGCAGTTTGTGCATGTTGCTTAGACGTGGAACATTTCGGGTTTTCTGTTCATCTGAATCCAGGAATAGGAAAGACAGATCTTTTCTCTCTCTGCTTTTAATTTCTGTTTAACTGTTCGTCCCCTAGGCCTCCCAGTGACGCTGGATGGAGGAGGCGGTACCCTGGCAGTGAGAACCCAGCCAAACCAGTTGTAGTTTTAGATCCTGTTTCCACACCTGAACCCCAAACCAAAGACCAGGTTGCCGAACAAGATCCAGCGCAACGCAAGGATGACCAAGGCGAAATGAAAGCAGAGCACAGAGAAGACGACAGCGCTGAGAAAATGAGAGACGCAGACAGCTCCCACTGCTGAGGCGTTCGGGAGCTCCTCTCAGGACGCACGCGGCTGGCCCTGGCCACTGGCAAGGGCTGGAGACGTCCTGTTCTTGTCACTGCGTTCAGAAAACAGGTTCTTCTCTGAGGTCACTTTTGTAAGTAGTTCACCTGTTAATATAAGCAAGTTGTTTAGCAAAATACACATCTCTGTAGTTTCTTTCTGTGTTCATAGGGATAAGGTTTTTCTTCATGACTGTATTAAGTGTGACTTCTTTTGGAAGGTTACAGAAAATTCAGATGTCGCTATCTTTCTGTACATTACAAGTGTGATGCTGAAAGTTTGCAGGGCCGGGTCATTTGGATAAACAGAACCGAACAACTTAAGGTGATTTAAGCAGCCCCCGAATGCGCTGCTTTCTGGATCCCACCCTCTGGGTGGGGAAACAGCAGCAGCGTGGAAATGGTTCGGCGCCGAGGCGTACAGACTGCTCTCTAGGAGATGAACTTGACGTGCGGGAGCAGGCGTCAGCCAGGAGCCCCGCAGTCAATGTTAATTCCACACGTTGTTACCTACGGGATGAAAAGTACATGCTTCTGACTGTGTCCAAAACCTCCCGAGGACGCCGGAGGGAGTGCTCCGGTGGCCTGAATTCGGAATTGAGGTGCAAGTCAACCCTTGAACTTAACAGTATTACCTTGGTAAACCGTGTGCTCTGTGCTATGAGTTCATCGTGTTTCTCATGTGTTCATGTGGCACGAGTACCATATTTCATCACAGTTCTTGGTACAGTGAAGATGAGTGACAGTTTCCTTGCTTTACTGCTGTTCTACATTACACAGGTTTGTTTTTGTTTTGTAAGAAATTAAGTGGTAGTCTCTAAAAATACAATGTTTCAGTCTACCACAGTGAATAAATAGAAATGTAATCAGGGATTTTTTTTTAAAAAAACACACAACTTATGCAGCTTTTCCAAGTTGATTGTTTCAAAATTGATGTTTATTTAAAATAAGTGGTAATGTACTTGAATGCATTTGTTTATGACAGTGATTCAGTAATGGTAATTTTACTGTTAAAGTGAAAGGTTTCGTTTTGCTAGCGTAGCTCAGCATGTAGCTGTCGGGTGTTTCTCGCCCAAGAGCGAAGGAAAATGATAGTAACAATTGCAGTGGTTGTGTCGTACTTTATTTTTGCACGTGTGCTAAGCATAGGCTTGAAGAGGTGGGTGGGCAGGTAAATGTCCTTCCTGAATTTGGAGACAATTCTCTTTCTGTAGGTTCCTTATGCTTGACTGTTGCCATGTTCTTCCAGGGACGATTTTACTGTTGTTTACGCCTGGGAAATGGAAATGTAATGTTTCAGCTGTAAGTCCCCCTCACTGAACAGCACTGCTGTGTGACGTACTGGCTGCAAGCTGCGTTAACTCCCTCAAGCAGTTCGTTCTGCTGTGATTCGAACTCTCCTCGCCACACTTATTAAAAAGCACCAACAGTATCCCAGTAAAGGCCATTTGTGGTTATTGACATTTTTGGTTTAGTTCCCCAAATTGGACGTTCTTTAAAAATTATATACGCGCTGATCACTTTGGTAATTTTTAATAATCCACAAGGTGGTTTATTTGGAGGACTTGACTCCCGTTTCCTCTTGCTCTCCTCCTTCCTGTGTGCCATCAGCCCCTGGGGTGTGTCGCAGGCGTTTAGGGACAGAAGGATGTGTGCTCGGCTCCGTGACAGGGCAGCGCAGTTCTGCGAGCCCCCTCGTTG